TTTTATACTATAAATCTTAGTCGTATAAAAAACAATCATGAAACAGTAGATTTCAATAAACAACTGTGTTTTAATTGTAAATCTTAAACAAATTTCCGATGGATTTCGTCTTGTTAATGAGATGACCTTAATAATTTACTAGAACACATTCACATCAAGAATAATCACCTTGGTAACCAAAGTACTCTGATAATCTGATTCCATAAACTTTATCGAGAGAATCACTCATGTGTGGTTCACTGTAATAGTTACTCATCCTTCTACGGTTATTTATGAATATAATCAGGGCAACGTACTAACCAATTACAGGTTGGTATACTCAGCTACTGATACTACATAGATGCTTAAACCAAATTAGTCTGGATATAGTTCGGATCTATGTCAGGACCTTTGAGTCCCACTTGCAGGATCGTGGATGAGCACTGCTGAAGAGTCCCATACTAGGACGAACCGACCTCCCAGTGCTTCCAGGTTTTCAGTGGTGGTTTAACATTGATCGTTTCATGATCTCAGTTAAAACTCAATAATCTCCACAACTCTATACTGATAATTGTTGTTTAGTTTCTTAAATTTATTTAGATCTTTGTTATACATACTAAAGCTTATTCATAACGAGTTTTGACCAAATTCATTTATGTTATTGTTCTCAACTCATTTCATAAGCTTGATTTTAAAAATTACAGCTGGTTAGAAACCAATGAAGTGAAATCAACTGATATTATTCTGCTCATATCTTTGTTTTTGCTCTTTTCGAAAAAACTAAGGGAGCATTATGTGGTAAATATTAATTTACTTATTTCTTCGATACTCCTCGCTAGTTAACACCTGACATACTTTGTGAAGGCCATTGTTACGCTTAAACCGTAGTTATAGATTCAGAATGATAATGTCATCAGTCTTGGGCTGTCTTAATTATCCTACTTGTTGATGCTTAGCTGCGCAACATTACATTACGTGCTCTTAATTATAAATCCATTTTCTTCACTCATTGATACTTGTATGAGCTTCCTTGATTTTGCTCTTTACAAAAGTAATGGTGTTGTTTATACAAGTATTACACCAACTTTGATTTGCGTGTTAATGAATAATTGTAAGAAATTAGTAGGAAACTAGTAATTGTTCTGAAAATCCTTAATAAGCTGTATGAGATTTCATGATCGACATCAGGGGGTAATCTTAGCTAGACCACTACTCAAAACCACGAACTACTGTACGGCCGTTTCGTCCCAGTATGGAGCTTCTTAACAGTGTAAATCCACGACAGATTGCATACAGCACCTTCAGGTCTCGCGCGGACACAGCCTTTATACCACTGAATCGGGATTCAATGGTGTGTATAGCCATTTTCGATCAACTCACGATATTCAACAACTCTTTGATTGCTAAGAGTGCATAAATGTCTCACATCCGACAATTTGTGAGTTTAAATATGTCAGGTATTAGACAGTTACCTTTTGAGTACAGTTGGAGAGGGTTGTTCAGTATCTTGAATTGATTGAAGATAAACGTGTATACAACTTAATCCTGACTTAGTAGTGTAAAGGTTAAATGTTCGCGCGAGACTTGATGGTACTGGGTTCGATCCCTTGTGATGTGTTCTTGGATGCTTACTGCTGAGGCGCTTCGTGCTAGGACGAAACGGCCGTCCAATCCTTCGTCGTTCTGAATAGTGGTTTAGCTAAGATCCGTTCATATTTTAAATATGAAAATTCAATAATCTCCACTAGCTCCCACTGGTAATTAGAATGATATTTGTTGTTCGCAGTATAAAATCGTAGTTCATTATTATCTTATTCGGTTAGCAATCCTCATACCAAGTGTTTTTTTCATCAGTTATATGCCAATGTGAAATAAATGTAATGCTATTAATTGATCTGTAACAAAATACTGGTCAAACATTTCCCATCAAATTTCTGTCAATAGGATATACTACTGAACTCTACGAAAGTAGCACTATGCAAATTCATAAAATATGCTTGCAGCCTAGGTCAGGTATATTTCGAAAAGAACTTTCAAGAACAGATACCAACTGGTAAATTATTAAAATACAATAGGCAATGGGAAAAAATTCTACTCATCATGGTTTCAAAATCTTCATTAGTGAGTGCACATGAATTTTCACAAGACAAAAAACTGAGGGTTTTAGGTTTTCTGGAAATTTCCAGTTTCCCTAAATCCGCGTATCATGGAATTATCAGAAGTTCCAGTGGTTGGATATATCCATAACTCAACCTTACCAGAATATTTGGTGAAACATAAATATTGAGACTATTCATTATGGATATATATGAATGTTTAGTTGCATTCCTTAATATCAGTATAGGAAATATACAAACCCTTACTGACAACTTCACACCCACTGAATAACGTTGTGGATACTTGGGCTCAGTATTATAGTGAATAGCTTGCCCAGATGTCAGGAAATAGACATTGAATTCAGTCCTTGGTGTAAACTTCAGCTCTGGGATATTAGTACATTTAACTAACGGGTCTCGGATAGCATCAATGCAATTTTGTCAAAACATTTTAGATTTGTTTCCTTAACTACGAAAGGTATTCAGATACACTTGTTTGATCTATTTATGTTTGGCGCTTCTTCATTTTTCTAAGAAATAAAACAGGTTTTCCCTAAAGATTAACGAATTGATCTGGAGTTTTTTCTTTCGATCAAAATAAATATTTTAGAAAATCCCTAAACTCCTTTCAAATTAATTTCTTTTCTTCATGTTCAGTAAGAAAAGATACACTATATGGATTTTTGAAAGCGGATTCAAGAGTCTAAATAATTAGCTGTGCCAGTTGCAATGACCAGTGATCCTGAACTTAATTCCAGGCAGAGTATTGGATGAATGCTATTATGAATTTCCAAATTTATACGGATTGTTTTTCGACAGTTTTACAGTCTGAAATAAATACCAGTTTCAGTGTTAGATCGTTGTAGGTAGTTAACAGGGCATCCTAGATCTATGTTTCGTGCTAGTTGACTCTCATCGACATAATGAACCTGAAATTATAAATAGACTGGTGTACCTTGAGAAATTCATATCCAGTTTGTGATGTTATCACTAAACAATCTGTTTTGTTAACCAACCTACAAAACTGATAACAATACTAAAATTTATCGACCAAATTAGGTATGATACTGACTATGATATCAACAGTTATGGATATTAACAAGTATCAACTGTGAAAATTCTTCTTTGGCTAGTTAGAGATCATGATGAATCAAGATAACGACTCTTTTGTTAACTAGTTCATAGAAATCAATCAACAAAAGTACAAATGAACAACACACTGAGTTCTGTATTTTGTGAACTTCGAAATTTAATGCAGTAATGAAAATCGTTTATCGTATTATTAATGCACATTAATTTAGTGGGGGTCAATAATGAAGTCTAAGGTGTATATTTTATTGCACTGGTAACTCGTTAGTTATATACAATTTGAATGACTTGATCAATATGAAAGCTCTCTCACTACAGGCCAACATTAAGTTAAAGACCCAGATTACCTTAAGTTATTTCAATAAAGTTTACGAGTTCCTATGTTGTACTATCCAATTACTTTATACTAGTTAGACTGAGAGGCTGTATTTAGCTGATGAAACTGGTTATTGTAGAATAAGTAGGTCATTTTTCTTTGTTTGAAAATTGAAATCTGTTGAATTCTCGAACAATCACAAACTAATTTGGATTTATTTGATCAACAAGCGAACGTCTCATTTAGTGAAATTCCTTTAAATAAGACCAATTGTTTATTCTTTGTTTCTTCATTGAAATTTAAAGCAATTTCATCGGTAATTATCACCTGTGAATTTCAGAAGTAACATATCCTATTCCAAAAATACACAATCAATACGAAACAAATACCGGCAAAATATTTTGAATAGATTAAGTATTCATCTGGCTAGTGGTCATTATCCACATATTCCTGTCTATTTCATTATGACTACCCGAAAATATATACTAGTTGTAAATATAATTATTCATCTTTCAATAGTAAATCTCCCCATGAAATTGTTATCTTCTTCAGCCTATCTGGATGGTCAAATATTTAAGAATATAACAGCTATTGGATTTCACCATGAAATACCTTAGAAATAGGTATAGCATGTGAGTTAAACATCGATTTATATATAAAAACAAATCAGAGATCATTCGATTCTTTTACCTTTCTTACATTATTCTACTTAAGGAATACACTATGGAAATGAAATAGAAGAAAATAACCAATTACAACACTGTCACATATATTAGCTATCTTACATAATAAAAAAAGTGATTTGTTCAGGCTACAAGTATATTAGCTTTCTTGTGATAATATGCACATAGAAATGATTTACACAAAGACGAAAATCTATTCCTCTTACTAATAAGTAAAATTGAACATTGAAAGTAGAAAAAAACTCAGTTCATAGATTAAATGATCAAAACTACTCATTTTCCTTTTACCAAACAAAAAAAAATAATAAAACCTTTTTTTGAATCAAATATTATCATTGATACAATCACTACTACTTATAATATTAAAAGTAATAATCGAAATAGAACGAATAGGATTAAATGTAATAAGGATAAGCAGTATAACTGTAAAAAATAAAGTAAATTAGCCAACCCTGTTAGTTTAATAATAATTTAAACAAACACAGTTGTTGTCTTTTTTTTAATGTATGGAACAATGAATTACCATCGGTGACAATGTTCAATTTATATCATTCATTATAGTCAATGATCCAGTTCAATAGTGTTAAAACAGCAAATAAATGTATACATTGAGTACTATCACTAATTGTAGTATTAGTATTAGTATTAGTAGTAGTAGTAGTAGTAGTAGTAGTATTAATAGTAGTAGTATTTAAAGAAAGTTAAAAAAATTAAACAAATTCCATGTAAATAATAATTATTAATAACAATAATAATATCAACCATAGTAATTATAGACAACTATATATATATATATATATATATATATATATATATATATATATAAGTAAACTTGTTTTCTGATAATGACTTTAATAGTAGGAAAACAAAAACTCCGATAAGTGGAAAAAGATTTGAATGTGACTTATTCAAACTATTAGATTGTTTTAATTGTTTGTTTTTTTTTAAACATTTAAATTTATCCCTGATTTATTCAATTTTCAATGAATGAATCAATGAATAAAATGATCTAATGAATGATAAGAAGAACAATTCTATTGGTATTCATGATAAACAATACATTCATCATCATCATCATCTTCTTCTTCGTCGTCGTCGTGGTGGTCATTCGTTTGTTTTTTATGATAATCAATCATTTCTTCATTGTTTTTCTGTTCATTTATATTTAAAATTGTATGATTTGTAAATGGCGGTTTTTTTGTATTTAAAATTAAATTTTCATATTGAAATGCAGCTTTAGCTACATTTAATACAGTTTGATATTGTAAATTCATTTTATTTATAGAATTTGAAAATGTATTATCTTTTAATTCTTCATTATATATTGATAATGGTAATATATTATTAGTAGTATGATTCAATTCAGAATGATCATTCATTGTTGATTTAATGAATTCATTATTAGAATGATTTGATAAATTTGATGTAAATAATAAATGATTTGGCAGCCAATTATGATTATGATTTAATTGTTCTAATTTCATATATGATTCTGTTGTATTTGGTATATCTGTGCTTAATGAAGATTGTGTAGTGATAGATGTTGTTGATGAAATTAATGGAAATCCTGTAGTTATTGTAGTAATTGTTGATGTGAATTGTGAAGAAGTTGATAAAGATTTTAAATGTTTTTTCATCATAAAATAATTATCATAAAGATCAGAATGACCAAAGTTATTGAAAGATTGATTTGATTGATTTTTGAAATTATTCAAAAAGGAAACTGATAAATCTAGTTGTGGAGTTACATTGTTTAATGAAGAGTTAGAGTTTAGAACTTCTGTAGAAACATTATTATTATTATTATATGAGCAATTATTATTATTAATATTGTTATTACGATTAATATCAATGACGTCAACATTATTTGTAAATCGACTCATAACATTATTATCATCAGAGTTATTCTGTTCATGAGTATATTCAAGTTGAGATAATGAAGTATTAAGATGATTGAATTTCTGTTCATTATGTGTTGATAAAAAGCTAGATTCATTTGTCAAGTCAAAATCTAGATGAAATTGATGCACTCTAGATAATGGTAATAGTGATGGTAAAGCTGATCTAGTTTGATGAGTTGGATAGCTTAAATCTGTAACAGTATTCTCATTGAAATGATGAGGCAATGATTTTGAATCTGAGTAATTAGATAATGATGAGAACTGACTTGGATATTTAGTAGATCTCTCTTCATTGAAATTAGTTAAAGAACTAAATGTCTTATCTGAATTAATCAATGGATTTGAAAATCCTGACTCCATTGAATAAGAAATGTTGTTGCTACCATTATTTGTAATATCAGTGGTAGTAACAGAGGTTGTAGTGTTGTTATTGTATGTTTAGAAAATATATTTGCCCATTCATATGTATTCAATTCGGGAAAACGTGTACGATTTTGAATTTGATGATAAACATCATCTACCTGATTGACAATATTATATAATGATGAATTAGTTATCGATGTAGCATGGTTACATAATTCCGTTGACTGTTGCAATAATGGTATAGAATAAGTTGTAAATGATGATGTAATGCACTAGCTTCTTCTAAATTTTTATCTTGGACCTGTCTTTTTAACTTATACCGACGATTTTGAAACCAGATTTTTACCTGTGTAGTAATAATAATAATAAAGAAAAGACAATTTGTCAGAATGTAAGATTAATAGAGATATATGATTAAAAATCTGGTAAAAACAGCGAATGGTCACAGCAAATATACATTAAAAATGTAAACTATAGAATGTTAACACAAAGGTTTAAATGTTAAGCGCTCAATGTGATTTCTATCCCTGATTAGGTTATAGATCCATAATGTTGAGAATTCTCACACTGGGATGAAATAGCTAGGTGAGACTATAATTTATGGATGACCTATGGGAGACGCTAGACTGACCTTGAGAGTGTTCATCTAATAACTAGAACTAAATAAAGGTTATGAACCTGTGTTAGAAATTAGAATTATGATTTACAGTTGATGATTAAGTTTACGAATTAGATTTAGGGTTTTCATCAAGAACTAACATCAGCTGTAATGACAGAACGCTATTTAGCCAAATAGATGAATGAACTTCACGCCAAAATCCAAGACTCGTTATCTTATATCTGATTAGTTCGTCCACAGAATATAGTCTCGCCAATAGCTACCTAATGTTGCCTGTTTTTCAGTTATCCTTTAATTGAAGCTAATCCATTATGCAAATTATAATATGTAACAATCTACACAAACCTTGAACACGTATGTTATTCAACTAACAACTCTACGCTGATAGTAGCCTTAATCATACGAAAGTAGATGGTAGCTTCTAGTTTTTTTTAGATTAAAGAAGATAGACAAAGTTTAAATCATTTGAACTGTTATTTAGAATTAACTTCAAGTTAATCAAAGTTCTTGAACATATAATCTAGGTCCACTCTTTCCTGTTGATTACAATGCAACATATAATCATAATTAGGTTAGGTACAATTCAACTTCATTCTAATCAAGTGGAATTTTTTTTATTATTAAAGACTGTCTATTTACCACATATCTAAATTTCATGGGTAGATATTTCTTATTCACTACGATTCATCAACAACCAAAGTCAAAGTCAGAATCGTCAACACGAACGTCATGATAGTTCTACTGTACGGAGCTGGAACTTCGAGAACTACTACAAGCATCATCAAGAAGCTACAAGTATTTATAAATAATTATCTACGCAAGATACTGAATATCCGTTGGCTAGATATCATCACCAACGGTCTTCTGTGAAAGAGGACAAACCAACTTCCAAATGAAGAGGAAAAGACGTTGTATGTGGATAGGATATGCATTGAGGAAATAAAAAAACTGCATCACGAGGCAAGCCCTAACTTGGAGTCCTGAAAGGGAAACGGAAAAGAGGAAGGCCAAAGAACACACTGCATTGAGAATTAGAAATAGACATGAGAAGGATGAATAACAACTGGAAAGAGCTGGATAGGACTGCTCAGGACAGGGTTGGATGGAGAATTCTGGTGGGTGGTCTATGCTCCTCAACGGGGGGTAACAGGCGTAAGTAAGTACGATTCATCAACCTATTATTTATTTATTTAAACACATAAATATTGGTACAGGAGGGCACCAAATATATATGCGCCACACAAAACAATGAGAATTTGCAGAGAAGGAAAAAAAAGGTAAGGGGCGTAAAAAAAACGATAACGAACAGATTAGTGTAAGGTAGTGTAATAATAATAATGGGGGAAACAGAAACGTACACTCAGAAGAAATCTTTCAGTTAAGGAAGAAGCAACCACTTTTTATGAAGAAAGTAAAAGGTTACAACAGGATCGCCACTGGCTTCTATTCTGAGCCATATCTGATAACGTCTCTACTCGAGAACGTTTAGATAGAACCGAATTTCCACCATAGACGAGCTGCTGTTTAAGTCGAAAAATAAGGATAGACAGAGTAGGAATAAAAGAGAGTGAATAAATGACGTAGTAAATAATAACAATGGTAATAATAATGGTGTGAATCGTTTGATTAATAGTTGAAGCAAGAAAAGTATTTTCCATAATTATCGACAGTTCATCATATTTGTGTGCGGGCTGTGATACTGCTCGGATGCCCAGACCGAAGCAGGTGGTTATCTTAGGGGGCCACTCCCCGAGCCTTCGACCTGAAGGTCTGATCCACGAGGCAGTGGAGCATCGTGAGGAGATGCAGTCCCATGGTAGCCGGTGACCAACGACTGGTTCATACGCCATTTGTTCCCGCGGGATACTGGAGCCCATGTGTACCAGTGGTTTGGGATCCGGTTAAGCTCCGGACATTCGCTTTCGTCCTCCATTTTTTGTAAACAACACCCCCGTCACGAGAAGGCAATGAGTAGGACTTCCCTGACAGAGGCTGTATGCGCGTGGCCGTGTGAGAGTATTTCGAGAGGGAGGGCGGGCCCACCCCACTCTCGGCCATACCAGGGCATCATTCAGTTAACTTGTTAGTTGTATGAAACTTTAAAAAATATAAAAATTGTATACTATAAAATGGGTTGTAAGTTATTAAGATAATAATTATTAATAAGGAAAACTTAATCTCTATGATATACGTCTGTGTATTTTCAAAAAGAAAAACTATTTTTACCCATAAAATTTCCAACTTTATTTTCCCTCTTTTTTGTAATTTGCGCAATTTCAATATTCATTTAAACAAACATTATGATTTCCAAATGTTTATTTATCTATTTTATCTTTATTGTTGTTTTGATTTATATCCATATTAAACATACAATAATCAGATAATGGAAACAGACATGATTAGAGAATGTGTTTCTTAGTACTACAGTAAAGATGGAATGGTACTTAGTTCGTATTATCATAAAACATATACTATTTAATGCTTTTTCTTGGTGTACAATGATTAACAATGTTCTTATATTCCTAATAATTTTAGTTAAACACCTACTGGAAATGAGAAGACACTAGGTGGGTGTTTTTTCTCTATGGTAAGAGATTCTTCAACAGTATTCTTTTTATTGAGTAAACTAAAGATCGAATAAATAACCTTCCGGCTTTGTAGCCATTGAAGGATTAAAGAAAGCTAACATGTAATTTTCATTGCATTTTATCTCTATGCACCTACCCCTGCTTAGTTTGATTTAAAGAGTTATAACAATGTTTATAAAATGTAGAAATGAATTTCATTTCATTTCAATCAGTTCAATGAATTGAATTTCTAACTTGTTTAGTTTGAACATGTATAACGTAGTACATACCGTTGGACTGTTTCACATATAACCGACTGACTACAAATTCTTCTTAATATTGAGTATTCAGTAATTTGTTATCTGTATCTTAAATACTTAATACTATAATAGACTGTGATTACAGTTGGTTTTGCATGGCTCAAATGAATAGCCAGATTTTATTTATCACGTTTACTAATACACATCAATAAAAGACAATTTCGGTTCCCAATAAAATTAGAGCTTGTTATATCATGGTTGATGGTTTATTTTAATTGTTAAAACGATTAATAAGTACCATTAAATCTTGGAAAATCAATGTCAGCCAATGTATTTTCTACGTTAAGATCATATGGAGAAATGGGAGATCACAGGAAAAAGTTGACATTTATAAATTCTTGAGTTTTCGTTGCTAAGTAAAATTATAATATTCAGATGTTATGCTTTATTAGATAGATTTCTATAGTTTGTAGGCAGTTTTTATTACAAGCTGTCATTAACTAGTGAACAAATAAAAGTTAAGGAGAAATGGAACTTTTAAATTTGATCCCATATAGGTTCATGATTGAACACTGCTATAAAGTAGTTAACTACCTATTCAGTACTACCTAATTTTTAGTCGTACCATGCAGTTAGTAGCATTTTATTACAAAGAGAATCTGCATTAACATTGACAAAAGTTTGAAAGAACTACAAATCTATAGTTTAGTTATAATATACATTAAATTACAAACATAAGATGACTTTACAACTCCATCACAAAGTAAGCTCTAACTTGGAATCCTCAAGACAAAAAGAAAAGAAGCAGACCAAAGAACACACTGAGCTGGGAATAGAAGACAAATATCAAAAGAATGAATAGAACTCAAGAGCACTTCGAAATGAATGCTTAGTAAAAAGCTAGTTGGAGAATCCGTGTCGGCGGCCTAAGCGCGATAAAGGGTAAAAGGCTTAGGTGAGTGAATATAAACACAGGTAGTACTGTAGTGAACGAGAACACCAAAGAGGACAACCAAATGTATTTGAATACGAAATTAAAGAATCTCTCAGTAAAATCTGAGGAGCCTACAGTAAATACTCCATTTGCAAAATGCCAATCAGTTGTCTCAGACTTGACTGTTCCTTCGTTTCCACACTAATTACGCTCTGTTCTCGTTAATGATACATACTGCTTATATATGTCTACATCAGTATCACATACCACAGTACGTGCAGTTTTCATCCAACGAGTGTGGTAGAAAGCTTAGTGCACACATAGTTGATGATTTTTCATAATAAGGCCAATTATTGTTATTATTTGGAATTTTTACCGTAACTGTAAGTGAACAAGATATAAATGGTTTTTTGCTTTGTACTACACTAGTTTTCCTGTGAAATTTTATCAATCGAGCAAAGCAAAATTAAGCAGGTATTGAAATGATTGGTATATGATCCAATTTTTCGGAGTAACCCAACGAATTAGATATTAGACAAAATTTAAATCGTGAACTGAAATATTCAGCTAGGACTGCATTTCTTAATTGTTTAAATCTGACGATTTGTGAAAATTTCCAATAATAAACGATTTGAAATAGTCGGTAAGAACCCAGTATCTAAATTTTGTACCAATTAGTAGTTAGTAAGACGAGGTTACAATCATGATTGGAGTAATGCTGTTTGAGAGATTCGAACCTCCGTCACCCAATTCCACTCCCATAGATATTACCACTGTGTTATTCATTCAGCGACCAGCTTCCTGTAGAACTAAGATATGACCACTAGTCTTAATGGTTCAACATTGGAAAGGTTATACTTGTGTGCAAGTTATAATTCAAACAGCACTAAGGAATATACAAACACTAAATGAATTCCTATTCAATTAATGTAGATTTCACATTATTTATTTTATTATTTTAACACA